GGGGCCCGTGCCGTGCGGCTGAGCCCACCGCTCTCTGTCCTTCCTCCCCAGGGCTGCGGGCGGCCGCCACCTTGGATGAGTCCGGAGGGGGCCTCGTGAGTCCCGGGGGGTCCCTGACCCTGGTCTGCAAGGCCTCCGGATACACCTTCAGCAGCTACGGCATGGGATGGATGCGACAGGCACCCGGGAAGGGGCTCGAGTACGTCGCGAGTATTAACAGCAGTGGTAGTAGCACTTACTACGCGTCGGCGGTGAAGGGACGCTTCACCATCTCCAGGAACAACGGGCAGAGCACGCTCACCCTGCAGATGAACAGCCTCAAGGCCGAAGACACCGCCACCTACTACTGCGCGAAAGCTGCTGGTCACGGTGGCTCAGAGCCCGTGTGCGGCTGTCACAAAACCCAACGCGGCGATAACCGCCCGAGCGTGCCCAGAACCTTGCACCGTGCCCAAGTCTCATCAACCGTGCCCAAATTTCTTTCACGGTCTTGGTTTGAGGTCAAATTTTTTGCAGAGTGTTCAGATGTACCCAACTTTCCTCAACAGCACTCAACTTTACTGAACCATGCCCAAGTTTCCTCAACTGCACCCAAAATTACTGAACCGTGCCCAAATTTCTTCAACAGCCCCCAAAATTACTGAAATGTGCCCAAATTTCTTCAACAGCACCCAAAATTACTGAATCATGCCCAAGTTTCCTCAGCAGAACCCAAAATTACTGAACCATGCCCAAGTTTCCTCAACAGTCCCTAAAATTTACTGAACCATGGCCAGGTTTCCTCAATATCACCCCAAAATTACTGAACTGTGCCCAAATTTCTTCAACAGCACCCAAAATTACTGAACTGTGCCTGAGTTTCCTCAACAGAACCCAAAATTACTGAGCCATGCACAGGTTTTCTCAGTATCACCCCAAATTTAATGAACCGTGCCCGTGTTTCCTCAACAGCCCCCAAAATTACTGAACTGTGCCCAAATTTCTTCAACAGCACCAAAAATTACTGAACCGTGCCTGAGTTTCCTCAACAGAACCTAAAATTTACTGAACCGTGCCCAAGTTTCTTCAACAGAACCAAAAATTACTGAACCGTGCCAGAGTTTCCTCAGCAGAACCCAAAATTACTGAGCCATGCACAGGTTTTCTCATTATCAACCCAAATGTACTGAAATGTGCCCAAATTTCTTCAACAGCACCAAAAATTACTGAACCGTGCCTGAGTTTCCTCAACAGAACCTAAAATTTACTGAACCGTGCCCAAATTTCTTCAACAGCACCCAAAATTACTGAACCGTGCCAGAGTTTCCTCAGCAGAACCCAAAATTTATTGAACCATGGCCAGGTTTCCTCAGTATCACCCCAATTTTACTGAACTGTGCCCAAATTTCTTCAACAGCACCCAAAATTACTGAACTGTGCCCAAATTTCCTCAGCAGAACCCAAAATTACTGAGCCATGCACAGGTTTTCTCAGTATCAACCCAAATGTACTGAAATGTGCCCAAATTTCTTCAACAGCACCCAAAATTACTGAACCGTGCCCAAGTTTTCTCAGAGAAACCCAAAATTACTGAACCATGGCCAGGTTTCCTCAATATCACCCCAAATTTACTGAACCGTGCCCAAGTTTCTTCAACAGCACCCAAAATTACTGAACCATGCCCGAGTTTCCTCAGCAGAACCCAAAATTACTGAACTGTGCCCAAGTTTCTTCAACAGAACCAAAAATTACTGAATCATGCCCGAGTTTCCTCAACAGCCCCCAAAATTACTGAACTGTGCCCAAAACTCTTCAACAGCCCCCAAAATTACTGAAATGTGCCCAAATTTCTTCAACAGCACCCAAAATTACTGAACCGTGCCAGAGTTTCCTCAGCAGAACCCAAAATTTATTGAACCATGGCCAGGTTTCCTCAGTATCACCCCAATTTTACTGAACTGTGCCTAAATTTCTTCAACAGCACCCAAAATTACTGAACCGTGCCCAAGTTTTCTCAGAGAAACCCAAAATTACTGAACCATGCCCAGGTTTCCTCAGTATCACCCCAAATTTACTGAACCGTGCCCAAGTTTCTTCAACAGCACCCAAAATTACTGAACCATTGCCAGGTTTCCTCAGTATCACCCTAAATTTACTAAACCCTGCCCAAATTTCCTCAACAGCCCCCAGATTTTCTGCTCTGAGCCTGCGGTCTTGGTCTGAGTCCAAATTTCTCACAATTTGCCCACTTTTGACAAACCGAGACCAAATTTCCGGAACTGAACCCACAATCTTGGTCTGAGTTCAATTTTTTTTGAAACTCAGATTTACTGACCTGTGCCCAAATTTACTGAACGAAACCTGCAGTCTTAGACTGAGTTTAAATTTCTTTCAATATGCTCAAATTTGCTGAACCGTGCCCAAATTTACTGAACTGTGCCCAAACTTCCTGAACTGAACCCACAGTTTTGGTCTGAGTTTAAATTTCTCTCAATATGCTCAAATTTGCTGAACCAGGCCCAAATTTACTGAACCAAACCCGCAGTTTTGGTCTGAGTTTAAATTTCTTTCAATATGCTCAAATTTGCTGAACCAGGCCCAAATTTACTGAACCGTGCCCAAATTTACTGAACCGTGCCCAAACTTCCTGAACCAAACCTGCAGTTTTCGTCTGAGTTTAAATTTCTCTCAATATGCTCAAACTTGCTGAACCGTGCCCAAATTTACTGAACGAAACCCGCAGTCTTAGACTGAGTTTAAATTTCTTTCAATATGCTCAAATTTGCTGAACCAGGCCCAAATTTACTGAACCGTGCCCAAACTTCCTGAACCAAACCCGCAGTTTTGGTCTGAGTTTAAATTTCTCTCAATATGCTGAAATTTGCTGAACCAGGCCCAAATTTACTGAACCGTGCCCAAACTTCCTGAACCAAACCCGCAGTTTTGGTCTGAGTTTAAATTTCTCTCAATATGCTCAAATTTACTGAACTGTGCCCAAAATTCCTGAACCATGACCAGATCTTCTACACCAAATATCCAGTTTTGATATCTACCCAAATATCGACATATTTTGCCTCTTTTGGGTAGTTTTGCCCCAAGGACGGTGACAGTTTGAGATTTAGAGACTTTTCTGCCCCCAAAATGGGAATGTTTTTGCCCTTTTGGCCATTTAGACCTCAAATACAGGCATTTTTCTGCCTTTTATGGGCATTCAGGCTCCAAAAATTGAAGTATTTTCCCATTTATTGCCATTTTTACCCCAAATATAGTGAGTTTTATCTCTTTATTGCCCTATTCTCAGCAGATAGAAGGATGTTTTTTATGATTTTTATGGAGGATGATTTTTATGATTTTATGGCCATTTTTCCCCAAACGTGGGTATGCATTGCCTCTTTCGGCCAGGTTTGCAGCAAATTTCGGGATGTTTTGTCTCCTATTGCCCATTTTACCCCAATATTGGGATGTTTTGCCATGTAGACTGAGTTTTCTCCCAAATTAGCATGCCATCGCCTTTCATGGCCAGTTTTGCCCATAATACGGGGATTTTTACCTTTTCTGGCCATTTTAGTCCCAAACACAGGGATGCTTTATGGCGATGCTTTGCCCTTTATGACCATCTTCACCCCAAAATGAGGACGTTTTGGAATCTTATTGCGAACTTTTGCCCCAATTTGGAGAACTCTTCGCCTTTTGTTCTCATGCGAGCAACAAATGTCGAGATGACATTTTTAGAGGAAATCTGGTTTTTTTTCCCCATTTGGGGCCCGTTGGGAGGAAGGAAATCAGCTTGAGGCTGCTCAGGCGTGGAGCTTCGTGGCATTTGGGGACGCTTTGGGGGATTTTGGTCCCCTCTGTGTCACCGTGAGTGCTGGTGCTGGTTGGGTTACACGGTGCTACATCCCATGACAAAAATGGTATTTTGCTCTACTTGAGCAAATCCGGGCATTTTTTGACCTCTATGGCCAGTTTTGCCCAAAATATAAGAATTTCCATGTCCTTTATGTCCATGGTGGCTCCAAATCTTGGGACATTTCACCCTTTATGCCCAAAATACAAGAATTTTTGTGTCTTTGATGGCCATGGTGGCTCCAAATCTGGAGATGTTTCACCCTTTATGGTCATTTTTGCCCCAAAGCCAAGAATTTCCATCTTGATGGGCATGGTGGCTCAAAACCTTGGGACATTTCACCTGAAATGGCCAATTTTGCCCCAAAAAAAAGAATTTCCATGTCCTTTATGGCCATGGTGGCTCAAAATCTTGGGACATTTCACCCTTTATGGCCATTTTTGCCCCAAATCCAAGAATTTCTGCGTCCTTGATGGGCATAGTGGCTCCAAACCTGGGGACATTTCACCTGATATGGCCAATTTTGCCCAAAATATAAGAATTTCCATGTCTGTAATGGGCATGCTGATTCCAAATTTGGGGAATTTTCACCCTTTATGGCCAGTTTGGCCCCAACCAGGAGCATTTTTCTGCCATTTATGAGTGTTTTGTACCCAAATAGATTTACCCCAAATAGATGAAAATTTCCCTTCTTCTACCAAATTTCATGCCAAATGTTGTGATATTTTGCCCTACATGGCCGATTTTCCACCAAATATAGTCATTTCTTAGGATTTTTGTGGCTAGATTTGCCCAAAAACTGGGGATAATTTCCTTTTTTTTTTTTTTTCCATCATTGAAACATTTTGTGATTTTTCTTATTTTTGACATGAATTTGTGAATGCTTTTCCTACATTTTTTTCTTGAATATTGCTCAAATCTCAAAATATCCAGGGACTTTTGCCCTCTTTAGCCCTTTTTGCAACAAAATGAGGATTTTTTAAATCAACTTCTGTAGAAAACCCGTGGACGTTTTGCCGTTTGTGGGCATTTTAGCTCTAAATTTGGTATGTTTTTTCCTTTTTGGGGCCGTTTGGGACCATTTCAGAGGAAGGAAATGATCTCGCGGCCCTGTGGTTTTTGGGGTCACACCGGGGGATTTTGATCCTTTTTGTGTCACCGTGGGTACTGGTAGTTGGGGTGCTCCTAATGCACACAGTGCTTCATCCCATAACAAAAATGATTTTTGGTGGCCAACGAGCAAATCTGGGGGCCTTTTGCCCTTTTTTGGCCAGTTTTGCCCCAAATACAATTTCCACACCCTTTATGGGGTAGGTGCCTTGAAATCTGGGGATGTTTCACCCTTTATGCCCAAAATACAAGAATTTTTATGTCTTTGAGGGGCATGGTGGCTCCAAATCTGGGGACATTTTGCCCTTTATGACCAGTTTTGCCCCAAATATTGGTTGCTTTTATACTTTATGGCCTGTTTTCCCCCAAATTTGGGGCTGTGTTGCCTCTTAAGGCCATTTTTACCCCATACACCAGGAACTTTTGGACCTTTATTGCACTTTTTAGCCAAATATGGAATTGTCTTTGTCTTTCATGTTCATATTTGCAAAAAAGAAAAATGGGGATAATTTTGCCTTTTATTGTCAATTTGCCACCAAATATGTAAATATTTGGCCTTCATGGCCATTTTTTTTGCACTGAATGTGGGGATATTTTAGATCTGGGGCAATAATTGGATGTTTTGCCCTTTATGGCCATTTCTGCTTCAAATAAGGACATTTATTTGCCTTTTATGGTGAATTTTACGCTCCTTGGGGTCAAATTGTCCTTTTATGGACATTTTGGCACCTCATATAGTCATCCCTTGACTTTTTTTTTCTGTTTTGCCCCAAATTCATGAATATTTTACCTTTCATGTATATTTTTTACCTAAATACTGAGATTTTATGTTTTGTTTTTTTTTTATCACTATTGCCCCAAATGTTGCGATATTTTGCCCTTTCTGGCCACTCTTTCCCCAAATCAGGGCTGGTTTTTCTCCTTTTTTGGGGCCATTTGGGAGGAAATAACTCAGCCTGCGACCGCTCGGGCGTGGAGCTTCGTGGTTTTGGGGACGTTTTTAGGGATTTTGATGCTCTTTGTGTCACCGTGAGTACTGGTGCTTGTTGTGGTGGTTACACGGTGTTACATCCCATGACAAAAATGGTATTTTGCTCTACTTGAGCAAATCTGGGCATTTTTTGACCCTTATGGCCAATTTTGTCCCAAATACAAGGGTTTCCATGCTCTTTATAGCCATGGTGGCTCAAAATCTTGGGATTTTTCCCATTTATGGCCAATTTTGTCCCAAATACAAGGGTTTCCGTGCTCTTTTTGGCCATGGTGGCTCAAAATCTTGGGATTTTTCCCATTTATGGCCAATTTTGTCCCAAATACAAGGGTTTCCGTGCTCTTCATGGCCATGATAGATCAAAATCTTGGGATTTTTCCCATTTATGGCCAATTTTGTCCCAAATACAAACATTTCCACGTCCTCGATGGCCATGGTGGCTCCAAATCTGGGAACATTTCACCCTTTATGACCAGTTTGGCCCCAAACACGAGCATTTTGGGTTATTTTGGCCCAAAATACAGGAAAATGTTGCCCTTGATGGTCATTTAGTCAACACGTCTGGTGAGATTTCACGTTTTATGACTATTTTTACCCAAATACAGGTAAATTTGCCTCTTCCAGCCACTTCTTTGTCAAGAGTTGAAATATTTGAAATATTATGGCGATATTTTTCCTCCTTATCACCAGTTTTAGCAAAATTTGGGGCTGCTATCCCCTTTTAGGACCACATTTTTCCCAAATACGGGAAAAATTTTGCACTTTGTGGCTTTACTTTTTCCAATATGTGGGGCTGTCGTTTTTGCCGCAAAAATGGGATATTTTGGGGCACGGGGGATTTTGGTCCCTGCTGTGTCACCGTGGGTGCTGGTAGTGGTTACGGTGCTTATTACACGGTGCTACATCCCATGACAAAAACAGCAATTTTCGCTACTTGAGCAAATCTGGGGCTTTTTTGCCCATTATGCCCATTTTTACCCCAAATATGAAGACTCCCGTATCCTTTATGGTCATTTTTTTCTCTACATTCTCTATATTTTTCCCTTTAAGTCCATTTCTTGGGATCAATTTCACTTTTTTTGACAAGTTTTCCAGCAAATCGTCTGAAGTTCTCCCTCTTTTCCCCCAAATACAGTGAAATTTTACATTTTCTGGCCAATTTGGTCCTAATATGGGGACGTTTTTGCCTTTTATGGCTAGTTTTGCAACACCATTAGGGAAACTTTTGCCTTTTCCACCTTCTTTACCCCAAATACGACCATGCCTTTTTATAGACAATTTAGCCCTAAATATGGGGGCATTTTGCTCTTTATAGCCATTTTTACCCCAAATATTGACATTTCTTCACATTTTGGGCAAGCTTTCCTCCAGATATGGACTTTTCTTTCCCCGTCGTGGTCGTTTCTCCAGCGAAAATGGGGCTGTTTTGCCTCTTTTTGCTTTTTTTTTTGCCTCAAATATTTTCCTTTTTTTGGACATATTTCCTCTACATATTTTGATCGTTTTGCCCTTTATGGCCAGTTTTGCACCAAATATGGGGATGTTTTTCCTTTTAAGGTCATTTCCCCCCCTTTATGGGAACATTTTTGCACTTTAGAGCCAATTTTTGCCCATTTCTGCCTCTAACACCCTTGAACATTGGAGGCTTTTATGAGCCGTTTTACCCATTTTTGCCCATTTCAGCTCCCCATGGGAGGAAGTTTGGGCCAAAAACCATCAATTTTGGCTCTTTTTGGGGGCGGATTTTGTTCCACCCTGTGTCACTGTGGGTTATGCTTGTGGTTACGGTTATACTTGTGCTTATCACCGTGCTACATCCCATGACAAAAAACCATCCTCAACATTTTGGGGACATTTCACCCTTTATGGCCATTTTTCTCCCAATATTCCCATTTCTCTACTTTTTATGCCTCCAAATACCGTTTTTTTAACCCCATATGTCATGTTTTCAACCAAAATATGACAATTCTTACCCCAAATATGACAAAGTTTGCCCCTTTATGGACATTTTCCCCCAAAACATGGAGATATTTCCCATTCGTCCCCAATTTTTGCCCCAAAATATGGACATTTCTGTGCCACTGTGACTCAAATATGGGGGCGTTTAATCTTTTAATCCCATTTTTGCCCCAAATATTGCCATTCCTCAACATTTGTAGGCCAGCCATTCCCGAAATACGTTGATGTCATACCCTCAAAGTCCATTTTTGCCCCCAATTTGGTGTCGGCTTGCCTTTTCTCACAGTTTCTTCCCCAAATATGGGCTTTTTTTTTTGCTCTTTATGTCCATTTTTACCCCAAATATGTTGATTATTTTGCTTTTTGTTCCCATTTTACGTTTTTCAACCATTTCTAAGTCAACACTCAAGAAGGAAAACCCAAAATTTACCATTGTAGAAAACACCCAAGAAGACAAAAAACCACAATTTTTACCCTATAGGATGCCCCCAGGGGCCCGAATTGGGGTGAAAACGCCCGGAATTGGTGAAAATATATATTTTTGGCCGCAGAAAAGAGGTGGGAGGGGTTTTTGAGTGGCGGGTCGATGACTTTGCCCCGCCGTGGTACTGCTGGTAGCATTGATCTGTGGGGCCACGGGACCGAGGTCACCGTCTCCTCCGGTAAGTCCTCCGGCCCAAAATCTCGCCACGGCG